GAGACATTTTGTTCAAACTCGCATCTTTCTTCTTCTTGCGCGAACATACGCGTACATCTACGCGAACGTTCATGTCCGATCACAAGGATTTTCGACTCTATAAAATAGAGTCTTGTGGGTGAAAGATTCTTGAGTGCTTGTTCTGAATTAACGTCTTATCCGATTGAAGTATTTCGTATACCCCAAAATAACTTTGATCTGAAAGCGTTTCGTACGCGATTCGTTATTCTATCGAGTCGTTCAACACTGCTTCGCAGTGTTCTTCCTTTTCTAAATCCAACACTCACTTTCTTAACCTATTGGTAATTGGTATGATTTCTGTTTTCCTCTTTTTTTCTTATACTAATTCAACGTCATGTCAGTTTTTTTACTTTATCTTCTCTTCTCTTTTTAGAAGAGTGGTAGCTCTTCACTTACCCTTTCACTTTTATTTTTTAATATTGTTTTTTATCACTTAATTTAATTTATATTAATTAAACCAAATAAATGAAATCATACAAACATAAAAAAATTGAAAATAAAAATATAAAAAAAACTTAATAATTGGAAAAAAATTAAAAAACATCAAAATTAAACTAAAAAACTAAACAATGATTAAGAAAAGAAAAGAAGCAACAAAAAAGAAGAAAGAAAGAAGCAAAGGACGAAACGAAGAAAGAAAGCCACGAGAGGAAAAAAGAAAAAGAAATGCAAAAAAGAAACAGAAAATACAGAACGGGAATTTGTTATTTCTGTTTCCGTCATCAATCTGTGGTCAAAACCAATAATTTACCTTGTCACATGGGGTCGTTTTTTGGAAAGTCTTGAAAGTCAATTGGTTAATTAGATGGAAATGGAGGGTTGATCTTTTGATATATGTAAACCTATGCCATCTAAAAGACAAGCCTACTTTCATTATTGTGTCACGCAATGTGGTAAACAAAAACAACAATGTGGAAATATGAAAGTGATTGCAATTGCGACCTTACTATTAGTGACTTTTGCTTTTAATAATTAAAGATTGCCTATTACAGCACAGGCTAAAATAGTGCACAAATCACTAAAATAATTGTAACACGACAAGTTAAATTTCTTACCCTTCCCCCAAATTGTCATCCATATATGAATATGCTACGTACACTTTTGTTCGATCAAATTCAATTTGTTATTTGATTTTGGAGATTTTTTTATATACTTTTCTGATTTTTCTGATAAGTTAACTATTTTTTTTTCCCTGAAATTTTCTGTTTTTAAAAAAATTAATTTTTTGAATTTTCGTATGATTTATCATGCCTAAAAATAAAATTCATACTATCTAATACTCCCTTCATCCTAATTTATATTGCATGTTTCGATTTATAATGTTTGACTGAAAATTATTTTCAAATCATTTTATTTGAAATATGATGCAGAATTAAAAAATAAGAAGTATCATATTAAAATACTACGTCAAAAGATCTACATAACTAGTTGTGACATGACTACTTTATTTTATCTAATAACTAATGAAAATAAGAAAATAAAGTGAATAAAATTTGATCTTGTGAACCGTA